TATTCTTAAAATTCATGCAATGTTGAGTTCTGTTACCGTATTTATGAAGTCACGACAGGTCACAGCTACATACATACCCGGGGGATTCGTTTATGGATACCTGGTCGAGCGGGGTAAGAGACCGGGCTATGTAGGACTTCGACGCCTCCAGAGAAAAAAAGAGAGAATAAGAAGACAGATGTCCCCCTTTTCTCTTAATTCCTTCTGGGAGGCTAAGCCTTGAAAACGGCGCACAAAGCTACATAAATACCAAGATTTTCCGTACCCGGTACAAAAGATTGATATAACTTTAAGATGTTCTATTTCCATGAATTGCTACGTTTGAAATAGCATTGTGAGCCTTAAATCTGAATAGTTTTTTAGGCATATAACGGTCTGAAGATGAGACAAAGTTCATATATATATCGTTTGAAATATCAATTTTAAGTTAAGTAATAAACTTTATAATGTTGTGATTCTCACAGCCCTGAATTTTCTTTGTTCCAAAACTCATAGTCCAGAAAGTTTGACAACGTTGTCACTCGCGGAGATTACGTCGTAACAATGTTTTGACAAGTCAAGATTCCAGATTAATTTCGTTTACAAATCAAGTGAATTGATTGCAGTGTTTTAAGTGCTTCCCAGATCGTAAATGTGCTTAGACACGGTTTTTTAATCATTTTTAATTTTATCTTTTGCTTAAGTTTACGCTTATATTTTACGCTTTGCGTGATTCATAAAAGAAAAAGAACGGACTAATTACCTCGATTACACGTTTATAAATCAGACAATTTCTTTATTATTAACAGGTTTATTTAAAAAGTTAGGTACTCTGACATAGCTATAGAACGAACTCTCCATATTTAAAAAAAATATCTTCTACTTTTAGTTCGGATAACTACAAAAGCGTTTTTTTTAACTATCATTAAATCTAAACATTTCTGCTGAAAAGTTAAAATTTAAAAACGTCACAGGGTTCCGGAATTTTTCTATAATTATCATATCACTAGCGACCCGCCCTCGTTTCGCTTCGGAAACTGTAATTTATTATTGATTTATCCACTATTTAATGGATATTATTATACATATACCTAAACCTTCCTCTTCAATCACTTTATCTATTAAAAAAACCGCATCAAAATTCGTTGCGTAGTTTTAAAGATTTAAGCATATATAGGGACAGACAGATATAGGCACAGAGAAAGCGACTTTGTTTTATACTATATAGTGATTACATTTCTTGAAAGCGCCAATTTACTAAATAAGCGAGGAGAAGCAGCTCTGTTGAAACCAGCGCGGAACATGGCCGCGGGCTAAGCTTGCTTACATTGGAACAAAGACGAACTCGGACAACACGACTCCACAAACGTTCTGCCAACCGTAACGACACAACAAGATAAGATGTAACTGACAGCTTCCTTACAATAATAAACTTAATTAAGTAACAAACAAGAACTCATGTTTCAAAGCGGTTTTGCCATGTGAATTTACATACGTTAATTTTGTAATTGCTGATATCTCGGACTAATACTGTTTTATGTATTTTTTTTCTACCTTAGCTGAGAGCCTTTAGAGGCTATTTCAGCGTAACCTTAACTAGTAGGTGAGCTCACGGGACTCAAACCTGACGACGTTGCTAACACGAACCCTAGCAAAAGCCGTGCTTCGCAGAATCTACTACCGGATCGGAAACGCGACCCACTGAGAAGATCCGGCGAGAAACTCGGTGGGCTGTGTCTGAGGGGTTTTGTGTAATTATTTCGAAGCCTTATTAATAATTTATGCGACTTATTATTTGGAAGCAAGCAGCGACTATCCTCCATCGTTCAGGGTCGCGTTCTCACTTTCTTCGGGCATGTATCGCGGTGGGGTGACGACTCAGTTGAGCGCCTTGCTCAGCCTTGCGTGCAGAGCATGATAGAGGGTACAAGACCGCGTGGCAGGTCACCGTTACGATGGAACGACCAAATAAGGGTAACTCTAAACGGTCCCGTTATCGAGTGCAGAAGAAGGGCCACGGTACGCGAGTAATGGCGGCGTCTGGTGAAGCGCACTACCACCCGAAGTGAGGACCACGACCACTCTGGTGGTAGGACCTTTTGTGAGTCCGCGCGGGTGGGTACCACCACCCTTCCTATTTCTGCAGTAAGGCAGTAATACTTGAGACCTTAGAACTTATATCTCAAGGTGGGTGGCGCATTTACGTTGTGGATATCTTTGGGCTCCAGTAACCACTTAACACCAGGTGGGCTGTGAGCTCGTCCACCCCTCTAAGCAATAAAAAAAAACTCTGCCAAGAGTGCATACGACTGAGAAGAAGAATTATTTAGAAGGAGAGAGCAATACTTGTGGGGCGATTCAGAGTAAAGAGTTCCATAATTGAAAACTTTTCTGTAATCTCCAATACAAACACTATAAAGAATTCGATGATCTGGATACCTACAAGACAATTCAATAGCGTTAAAGCTTGTAGAAAAGTCAACAAATGCTTGAGAATGAGATAAGTAAACGCATATTCTTCGTTAGATTTACCTCTAGTTCGCTCAGTTCTATTCATTATTTATACCATTTTGTCACGAGTTTGAGCGAACTTAGCACGCTAGTACATTAAACTTTCACTAGACCCCCTGATTTCGGTGAACTTAGTTTGATCATCTGAACAAATCACACTGTTATCGACCTGAGTTTTCTCACTAGTATTGAACTGATTCAAAATGACATTCCGAGTGTAAATTTTTGTTTTTTATTTTTTTTTATTGCTTAGATGGGTGGACGAGCTCACAGTCCACCTGGTGTTAAGTGGTTACTGGAGCCCATAGACATCTACAACGCAAATGCGTCACCCACCTTGAGACATAAGTTTTAAGGTCTCAGTATAGTTACAACGGCTACCCCACCCTTCAAACCGAAACGCATTACTGCTTCACGGCAGAAATAGGCGGGGTGGTGGTACCTACCCGTGCGGACTCACAAGAGGACCTACCACCAGTGATGAAATGTAATGAAATACCCATTTCTAAAGCTATCTAAATTCTCTTAAAGCTGATTTTGTTTTCTTATGCTGACTATTAACGTACATAGTACGCTTCATTCTCAAAGTCCAAATAGGACCTAGATATCAAGCATCTAGTTTTTTCGATTACAAATTGACCTTTTGTCACAATAGATGCCACAGAAGTAAACAATCTTTATCTAACATTCGATTTCTTAATAAGTCGATTTTAAGATTTACCGGTAAACCAAGAGCTGAGCGGTGTTTTACGAAAGTTTACGATTGAGTCATTCAAATAAAGTCAAAATTAGCCTCTTGGGATATTAATTTAATTTCTTTTACATTCCAATTTCCGTTTCGAATTGGGACGAAAAACCATGGCTTTGTAATTTTAAGAGCCACTAATTTCCCATAGGTCTGCGCTCGATAGGCCAATTCGATGTAGTTAATCATGACGCAGGCAGCAAGATTTGTTGTTAAGCGAAATTTATACAAGAAATGGGTAATTGAAACTCAGTACAGTCTTCTTCGCACTTCAGAGTATCTAAAGACTGTGTCATCAACGATGTTGACAGAGAGAGAGAGAACATACTTTATTGCACACCAAAACACAATTAACATTAGTAGACAATGAACAAGCAGATACGTTTGTAGAATAGGCGTTCTTATCGCTAAAAGCGATTTCTTCCAGACAACCGTTTAATTAACAGAAATGCTGGAAAAGATTAAGATGCAGCAGGTATGTTGCGGTGTACTATAATATTAATAATACATTATTAAAGAAAAGCGATGCACCGATGTTCGAATCCCGCAGGCGGGTACCAATTTTTCTAATGAAATACGTGCTCAATAAATGTTCACGATTGACTTCCACGGTGAAGGAATAACATCGTGTAATAAAAATCAATCCCGCAAAATTATAATTAGCGTAATCACTGTTGGTAGGACCTCTTGGGAGTTCGCGCACGAACCCGCCTATTTCCGCCGTGAAGCAGTAATGCGTTTCGGTTCGAAGGGTGGGGCAGACGTTGTGACTATACTGAGACCTTAGAACTATATCTCAAGGTGTGTGTCGCATTTACGTTGTAGATGTCTATGGGCTCCAGTAACCACTTAACACCAGGTGGACTGTAAGCTCGTCCACCCATCTAAGCAATAAAAAAAAAAAACATGCATACAATTAAGAGATATATACTGTTAAATATAATATGAATTCACAATACGACACTTTAAGACGGATGATATGCAAGTATAATATTACAAAAAACCGGGGTATTCTTAACACGTTTTTATATTAGCTAGTTAGGAGAGGTGTCTTTGTATATAAAGGCATCTTCAAGACATCATACGAACTTGAAAATTTGTACACGCAGCGAAGAGGACAACTACTTAACAGCTTCGATCTAATATCTAATCTAATGATCTAAAAGTATTAACGGGAGTAAAATGGCCCAAATTAATTATTATTTCGGTTTGTTATTTAAGCGACTGCTATTAAAATTTTCGAGCAATTAAAACTAAAATAAGATAAGTAATAACGTGACTTACTCAGTTCCGCGTAATGCTGCGTAACTACATATTTTATAGATTCCGTTCAAAACTAATGTACTCTAAAATCAATTACCACGCGATTCTTGACTTGCTCTTATGTTAAGGGCATTCAGATATCATTAAATACATAATAATTTGTCAATGATCTAAATTATTACACAAGTGCCAGAGGACTATACTACTACTATATTATGACTAAAGTAACTAAAGTACTAATCGAAATTAACGCATCAATGGCATTGCTGTTCGATGATGGATTATACAAAATCTCGAATAATTATTACCAGAAATGATTAACGGCCTTGCCCATGAAATTAGGAGCGTTCGATCATTTTTTTTGTTTAGCCAGATTATCTACGAGCTTTAATGGTCAGATAATTGTCACTGATATCATTGGCATTTAATCGGTCAGTGTGTACAGAACTTTCATAAAGAATAAAGGTATTCAGTTTTGGATACGAAAAAAAAAAAAACATACATGGGTAGTATGCAATTGGCTCGACCCAAATTCGCGAGTAAAACCAGAACGTTATCAGCTGTTACGAGGTAAGATCCAAACGTGAAATATTCTTATGAGGAAGTCAAAGTTAATGGCTTGTTGTAAAGTTTTTACGTCATATTAAGACTGAACGAGATTTGTTTTATGATGTATTGTGTTGTTTTTCTCGTTTGTAAATATACGCTTTCATATGTATACGGGCAAATATATCGATATCGTGTTTAACATGTCTAAATATGGATTCTCAACAGGAATTTCGGGTGCCTTGACGGGTTTCAACCTTTCATTTGGGTTAATTTTTGTTTTACTAAGTCTTGGAAAAGTTATTATGTCATCTGATCTAATCGTTTTAAATAGAAATAGTATTACAATACGTTTCTCGAATTAGTTACTAACAGCTGTTTTTCAGTTAGTTATCAGTGGTCGTAAATGAAAGCACTTATATAGATGACATTTAAAATTGTAATTGAAAATTTCCAGATTACTAATACTAATTATATTTGGCTAGTAATAATCTATGTAGCTCAACGCGCAGTGTAACATGATCAATTGACGCGCGGGATCTGTAATCTCATCCGGCCCGTTGGGGTTTTATTTCCCATTAGATGCGGGTGCATAAAATATGATCTAGGAAAAACGATTTTTTCTTTCAATATACAGTGAATTTTTTTCCCAGTTATATTAAGGTAGTTGTTGTACATTATTTCTACGTGTGGCTTCGAAAACAATTTCAAATATAAGGAAATTCTATAGAAAATTAAACCTTACATATTTTTCGATGCGCACATTCCTCATTTTCAGCAGATTTGACGGAAATTATATTTGGAGGCACCTTGTTTTTAAAAATGATGACGTCAAGGTGGCTATCGTCATTCTCTTCATTATTATGAATTCCTTCTACGGCGACAGTAATTAAAATTTACTTTTGAAACCAGAATGTTTGGTGTGACAATAGCCACTCGTATTTATAGTAGAAAAGTGGAGGTTGTTTGTTCGAGAATTCTCTGAGCACCTAAAATTAAATAATTATTGACGTGCGTTGGGCTTTACTTAGCTAATCATTTCAACATTAGGGAAACAGTCAACTTTAATTAGTCTTATAAATAACTAGCTGTACCCGTCCGCTTCGCTGGGCATTTAAAATTAACATTATTATTTCTCACCCCACAAAGATTCTCATCATTAACGCCCCCGCAACTGGGGTAGGGAGTCCAACACTCATATAAATATTAGCCTATCCATTAAGTACATGTATTTTCTACATGAAAACCAAGTTTCAAGTTAATCGGATACACAGTTCAGTAGTTATAACGGAACATCCGTAAAAACCACTGTAGATTTATATATTAGTATAGATATGCTCTTATATGTAAATAGCAGTATATATTTGATGATATTTTATATTTCCACGAAAGTCCCACTATTATCTCCCTCAATATGTTTTAGGGTTTTGACGCATGGAATCGTTATCGCTTCATTCTATTGCTATCAATGTAATAATAATCGTAACGTATGATACGTTAAATTTAACATAAAATCTCTGGATATTAGCAAACTAGCGATTAAAACTGAAATTGCGAGTAGTTCTTAAGAACTGCCAGTAGCTTCAAGGGGCTGTGCTGGCTTCGATATGGCTAGTGGATGATGAGCTCACGAGACTCAGCTTGATAAAGGTTACTATCATGTGCCCTAACACAGGCAGTACTTCAGTGAATCTACGGCCGGATCGGGATCACAAAATATTAAAATTCGAGTTGTATAATTAGAGATATGTTGTCAGCGGTAGGCAGAACTTGGTTGTATCTTCGGCATTACTGACGTCCATCAGCGAGAGTAACCACTAATAATTAGATGGGCCGTATCCGCGTATGCATTCACAGTAAGAAATACTTTAAATTCACATTTTGAGTTTGCGCCACCCACTTTGAGATAGAAGTTCTAAGGTCTCAATATAGTTACAGCGGCTGCCCCACCCTCCAAACCGAAACGCATTACTGCTTCATGGCAGAAATAGGCAGGGTGGTGGTGCCTACCCGTGCGGACTCACAAGAGGTCCTACCACCAGTAAAAAGTGTGTTGTAATTGGGTTGTTCAAAGTTAGAAAGGCAATAACGCAATATTTTTTTTTTAATAATTTCACTTAAACAGTGATTTAAAAATTGATTTTAATTTTCTAGGAACACGTCATGCAGTCGCGGATGGCTTCGTGTGGTGATGCAAACAATATTCGCCGTAATCACAGTGACTAGTTTCATCTTAATAGTCTTAATGGCAATACACAACTCCTCACTGTTCCCTGTCGGACGACCAGCCATCAACTCTCGATGCCAAATCCAGAATTGCAGAGTGGTCTGTAGAGATGTAACGTATCTCGTTGATTATGGAGACTTGATTGTTTCAGCGGTGGCAGTAAGTTCTTAAAGTATTCTTAGCCAACACTGGCAGGTTTATCTGCATAAGTTACTCAACCGCGTAGTTTAATTCAATTAGTTTCATTAAAGTTATAACACTGGTGGTCGGGCATTTAGTGAGCCCGTACGGGTACGTAACACCACATTGCCTATTTCTGCCGTGAAGCAGTTAATGTGTTTTGGTTTGAAGTGTGGGTCATTGTACTGTAAAACTGAAATGTAGGACTTATGTCTTAAGCTGGGTGGCGGCATTTCCGGAGACCGACGTCGTTGGTCAACGACTATCGCCTCGACGAGCCGTCGGTCGGGCGTCCTCGGGGTGGCGCCGCGTGTCTGGTTGTAGTGTTGACCGCGGGAACCCCCCTACTCTGACTGGGTTTTGACCCCGGACGGAGATCGGATGTCGGGTGTAAGAGTGCAAGAAGTCGTTTAGTGGGTGGGCCCTAAATTCCTTGGCCCGCAGTCTGCTCACAACACCTGCAGATCGTTGAGTCTCACATACCCCGCGCGCGGGGACCTCGTAGGAGGATCGGCCCTCGGCCCGAAAAAAAAAAGGGTGGCGGCATTTACGTCCTTGATGTCTAGCAGCAATCAAACATCGCCTTCTACCAAGAAATATAGCACATCAATTTAATTCAAGAGAGTTTTTTTTGAACATATAGGACTTATTAGTGAGAGCTCTTCACCGATGCCCATGCATGTAACTTGTCGGTCTCCAAGTGCCATCTCAAAAATGCATACATTACAATGTGAAGCTTTGTATACATTATCATGTGAAACATCTATTTATATACTGCACTGGTTAGATAAACTAGGAAATTGTGTTTCCGAACACACCTTCGGAACACGAACACGACTTAAACTAAGTTTAATTTGACCGACCCGATCGACGTAAATTGTTCTACAAATTAAATACACGGGATGTAACACCGTGTTAAAGTGTTTTACGTACAATTATTAAGTTTTTGTGAAAGTTGATGAATCCTTATATTTACGTTTATAATACTGATTTCTTTGTGTCCTGCATTTTTATATATCGGTATTTCATAAAAACCTTTTTTTTTTTATTGCTTAGATGGATAGACGAGCTCACAGCCCACCTGGTGTTAAGTGGTTACTAGAGCCCATAGACATCTACAACGTAAATGCGCCACCCACCTCGAGATATAAGTTCTAAGGTCTCAGTATAGTTACAACGGCTACCCCACCCTTCGAACCGAAACGCATACTGCTTCACGGCGGAAATAGGCGGGGTGGTGGTACCTACCCGTGCGGACTCACAAGAGGTCCTACCACCAGTGATTACGCAAATTATAATTTTGCGGGTTTGGTGTTTTACGTACAATTATTAAGTTTTTGATCCTTATATTTACTTTATAATACTGATTTATTTATATTCTGCATTTTTATATATCTGTATTTCATCAAAAACTGCTCCGGATTACGATGAAACTTCCCAGAAAACCCTTCACCACGTAAGCACGTTTTTAATTCCGGTCACCGTCCTCGTCGAACCCGTCGCTTGCGACGAAGGGCTCGACGAGCGAATTAACCCATAGACACAGCCCACTGAGTTTCTCGCCGGATCTTCTCAGTGGGTCGCGTGTCCGATCCGGTGGTAGAATCTGCAAAGCACTGCTCTTGCTAGGGTTTGTGTTAGCAACACTCCGGCTTGAGCCCCGTGAGCTCACCTACACACGTTATGGTGAAGCTGATATAGCCACTCAAGGCTATCAGCATAGGTAGGGAAAAAAACACGTTTTTTCCTTGCCGCTAAGAAATCCTCGTACGGTACCTACTAATAGCCGTCTCTGACGCAACAATAAAAAAAAAACAACCAGCAAAGGGAATGCTAACTATAGAGCCAGAATGATTAGAATTAAATCGATTAGTATCAATCGAAAATCGAACGTAGCATGCACCATTACAACGCGTCAGGTACTACTTAGTCTGCAATTTATTATATTGTAGTGGTATTGAGGGGCATCTGTCACAGGACCAGCGCTCCACCTATGTAAAATTGAGTAAAAACTACACATGAGATAGGGCCACTTAATACAATAAAAATATAATAAGCCCATACTAGCCTACTAGATTAAATGTGACCAATATCGCATTGCGCAAGACATTGCTCATCGGAAATGGCGTTGGATAGGACACACTCTACGGCGCAGCGGAGTCAACGCAGCATCAATCGCGTTTGAGTGGCAACCGCTAGGCAGGAGAAAACCTTGTCGCCCTGTACACACTTGGCGACGCACCGTAGAGAGTGAGATGAGGACTGCCAACGTGATTTGGAGTGATGTCAAGGAGCAAGCGCAAGACAGGGTAAAGTGGAGATAACTTGTGAAGGCCCTATGTACCAGCGGGGTACCCTAGGACTACAACAACAACAACAACATACTAGCCTCAAATAATTAAAAATATATTATGTACATTTAATTATTATTTATTTTACAGGAAGCCGAGACGAGGTGCTCGAGAATTATTTTGGTGATCAAGAATTTCATTTTTCGAAACGCAACTATGCCCGAGAACTGGTTGTCAAATATACGATCAAATATTCAAGAGATAGCTATAATAAGAGGAAACCTCATGCGCATCCCGGCAGATGCATTCCGAAGCCACTTCGCTAGGAACATAAGCACTATTATACTACAAAGCATAACGCTAAGAGCATGGGAAGACGGCAGTCTTGTCGGCTTAGCTAATTTAGACAAACTGTATATCAGGGATTGTAACATCATAGACATACAACCGAGGGTATTGAGCGATGTGGCTCACTCGTTGCAAACGCTTACCATAACTCAAAGTGGTTTTTGGCATCCGAACACCATCACGGGAAAAGAGAACTTGCCTAAATTAGGTATAGTAGATTTTTCTTTTAACCATTTCAAGGATGTGTTGAATAGTAATAGCTTCATTGGGCTCGGTAACTGCAGAGTGTTGTACCTAAATTATTGTAAAATCACAAGCATCGGACCTAACACATTCGATCGTTTGTTGAGCATTGAATATATTTATCTAAATAATAACTATCTTGTTACTCTACCGACGCAGCTGTTCGATTCAATCCTGCAAGTACGACCAAACATGCGAGTCAATTTACAGAACAACCATTGGTACTGTTCTTGTACGAACAAAGACTTAATGTCGTTGACCAGAAGCGACGTTTTAACAGGCGATCCAATTTGTGACCATCCCTACGAAATACGCGGCGTAACATTTTCAGAGTTTTATGAAAGCTGCCCTGGTCTGGAAGAAGTTCGCAGTTACGATATGACCTACTCGAACAGCTCCGTCGTTCACTACACTGTTGCTTATGTGAATGGATCGTGTTACGATGATACAAACACACCAAACAACATTTCATTAAGAATCATTAATTCTTCAGCGAACGGTCCTACTTGTTTTTCGAATGTCTTCAAAGATTTCAGTTATTTTAATTCGAATCCGATTAACGTAATCCGTAATGAGAATAAAAACGATTGGTTGAAGCTAACGTTTTTCGTAAAATCAGAACAATATTCGATAGTCGAAATCGATTCTTCGCGTGTCACAGGGTATGGTCTGTTATGGTTTCAGTCGACGTGCCCGAACGAAGCGTATTGTCTGAATGTCTTACCGAATTTCTTACGCGTCTATAATATTAACTTCACTGCCCGTTATACTTTTTGCCCAATACAAATTAACAACGCTGCTGTCGAAGTCGAAGACTGTTTGACATACGATCTATCAACGTACGCTATTGAAACTCGTCATGATGAAGTACAAATTTTATTTTACGCTCTAACCGGAGTGATTTGTTTGATATTTGGTGCACTTTGTGTGTACGCAATGATACGTAAAAACCCTATACTTTTGAAGGGCAGTAAGCGAATTCTGTTCGTCAAACATAAAACTGTTGACGCCCTGGTTTTGCCTCCAAAAATATCTTTGAGGGATTGCCATAGACCTGTGGAGCAACACAATCAAACTTTCAATGATAAAATTTTTACCGTCTGTAGTACGGAATGTAATAAATACGATACACTGAGATCTTATAGAAGCAGTATAAGTAGTACTCCTAGTTACGTATCGGCGCTCGAACCTACCGAGGATCAATTAGCAAATTGGCGTATCGCTCATCATTTTAATGACGATCTGAGTGTGAGTTCGAATTCTTCATTAGCCACTGGCTTATCCAGCGACTCTCTGTGTTATTATTCACTAGATTCCGTTTGAGGCATTTTTGAAGAGCATTTTAAGAAAATTATATAAAACAATAATCATAATATAAACAACGAAAAAAGGAAAGGTACAAGCTATTTTTGGAACGAAGTTCCTTATGGGACGATGCGGAGGGGTACCCTAACCGGGAAAAAACGTCCGTAACGTAAGATTTTTATTAGTAATGCACACAGTGTACGACTTAACTTTGTAATAACGTACAAAAAATAACATATTTTTTTATCAATTATTGACCACGATCTCAGAGCGTTCGTTTGCGCAATACACTAACTCTTATGCAAACAACCGTGAACGAAGTGTACCACAATAAGTTCGCACGTTACCGAATGACCGTGGGTTGTTGCGAAACTTCCAGTTTTATTTTCTTTATATCTCGAATAGAACTTAAAACTAATATTTTTATAATAAGGAACTTCGTTCCTATCCGGTGTCCCACGACACCACACATCCTTTTTTTTTTAATTTGTCTAATAGCTTGTCACTTGGCGGCAAGTATTTTCACGACATTCCAACACGTGTCTCGTTTAACAATTTATCTATCGGCAACAATTCGATCGTGATATTAATTCGCGCCGAACTGATTTATCGGAGCCGTCTGCGGTTAGAGTGAAGAGACGTCGGTCCAAATTTGTCATTGTCACCGCAATGATTCAGTCTCATATAGTTGTTTTTGATTACAAGCCGACTGACGGACGTGCATTGTCTCTGCCATTGGCTAATTTCGTTTCTGCTCGTATTTAAATCGACTGTAGAATGAATAAAATCGATTAGTGTTAAAGTCTATAGTCAAATAAAACGTTTATTTTATTGTATGTTGCATTTGTTTAGTATCTGATGGGAGTGTTGGCGTCTTTTGTTTGTATTTTATTTGTGTGTATAATAAATCAGCGTATAAGAATTTTGTTTTCTTTTTTTTTTTAAATACTCTTATGCTGAATTTCTCAGATCGATTTATAAACTTAAATGATAAGCAAATCCAAAACGGTCGAGTACGTTTTTTTCTTGTGTATCTGTCAACCGATTTTTATTTATTTATTAAAATTTATGCACAAGAGTACATTGGTGGATTTCATACCTAAGACATTCTCGTAGGGTGTCAATTTCCGGGCAGCCCACCTGCTACAATTTACTGGGCCTAATGTTCAAACGAAAAAAAAAAGTGTCCAAAACAAAAGAGAATCTAAATCATAAAATATCAGCAATTCTTAGGTGAATAATCCGTCTAAAAAACGAAAGTGAAAACCATTCTCAATTGGAACATCGAATGTATACTACGCCTTTAAAATAATGTTATTACAGTACGTTGCTCTGACAACTAAATAAAGGCCAACAATAGTTCGCAACGGGTTGCAATCTGGCAACAACCCTCTTCCGGTGACCAGAACAATGTACTTGGCAGTGACTTTGTAAACGTTGGCAAACTCAACTACTTAAGTGCGAAATGGTCGACCGTGGGAATTCACTTCGAATTACATTTAATTAAGGGTAACGAATCTTTAATATTGGTGAAAATGGGCAAACTAGCTCTCGCCTTGTTGAGCAGACACTAGAGCTTAAAATAATCTTAAAAGATTGAAGTGTCAATTGTATTGGTTCATCGGTTGTCCTAACTCTTCGTCTGATTTTTACGTTCCATTTTCCAGGATGCTCATCCTCCTATCCTCAAAACCTCTTTTGAAGAAATGCAAACATTTTTGTATCTTTGATCATGTCTCAAAATAAACAGCTATAAACGTTTTAGCGTGGAGCTCCGACAGCTGCTTAACACCAGATTGAGATTGGCTCTTTAAATGTCATCTAAATAAATAAAAAAGCTCAATTAAAAACAAATAAAGTGTGCTATTTTTTATTGCTTAGATGGATTAGTGCCCTCACTGCCCTACCCGTGTTAATTGGTTACCGGAGCCCATATTCATCAATAACATAAATTCCGTCACCCACCTTTAGATATAAGTTCAAAGGCTTAGTTTTACAGTACAACGGCTGCCCCACCCTTCAAACTGAAACGCTTTACTGCTCCACTGCAAAAATAAACTTCGTTGAGGTGCCTACCCGCACGGGCTCACAACAAGCCCTATCAAGTACAAAATTAGAATAAAAATTAAGATATTTATTAAAACTATAATTAATTGAAATTGTAAGTTTGAAAATTATTATGGTTCTATTGTCAAAGACTATTATTATACTTCTATAATCACAGATTTCGCCAAGACTACACTATAGACAAATAATATTAAACATAAACAAGATTAACCTATTCTAAATTAGTCTACAGATTTTAAGCAATAACAAAAGTTTGACAATAAACAAAGAGTTGTGTGTGTGTTAAATACATGGTGTGTAATGTTTGTTATCTTAATTGATTTAATGTATTTTTATGCATAATTTAAAAAAAATATATTAGCACTCTGCGCTTCTTTTCTAAAGAAAACATTACAGACACTACATACCATGTATTTGACGCACACACGCATGCATACTATTTATTGTCAAACTTTTGTTCTTGACGTCTGTGGCCAAATTGAGAATAGATTAAATATTGTTTGTCTTTATTAATATTTTTTATAGTGTAGCCTTGGCGAAATTTGTGATTATAGAAGTATAAAATACAATCATAATAGTGTACAAAACTTATTATACAATTCCAAATAATTATAGTCGAATTTCGACTACTGCGGGACCTCTAGTATAGATAAAATCTCTTCATCTGAACAGATACATTTATATTTTGATATTTCGCATGAACAACTTCACATTATTGTATAATATATGACACACGTCAAGAAACGTCGCTTCACCGAATTACTTTATCGGATTTCATAAGGAAAGTTTCGAAACTCGAGCGTTTTTTGGCAGTTCCATTATTACGGTTTACAACCGCTTACGTGCGGCTAAATTTAATATATTATATTTCGTATTTTCTGTTTGGAGACTTGTTATTTTGTTTTAGACTCATATTATAGTTCATTATAATTAGTTTTTAATTTAACACAAAGAGCGCTATGACATGTCATTTTTCAAACGAGGCTTGTGAAGAGGTAGGCAGCGGCTTTTAAGCGGTAGGCAGTGGCTTGGCTCTGCCCCTGGCATTACTGAAGTCCATGGGCGACGGTAACCACTCACCATCACGTGGGCCGTATGCTCGTCTGCCTACAAAGGCAATAAAAAAAAGAAACATTTTCTATGGAATAGCACATGCGTTTTGATTATTATGTTATGATTAATTAGCCTTTTATTATTGAAGGGTGAACTGCTTTAAGAACGTTGCGATTAGAAGTTCCATTAAAAGAAAAAAAATATGACACTAAAACTGGTAACTAAGACTAGGTTTTGGATATAGCCTGAGTGGGATGAGATACATATAGTACATACTTTTAAAGATTTCAGTTCTGCCGCGTATAAACCGCTTATATGTTTTTAAATTTTATTATGGGGAATGCGAAATTGTAGTCATTATCCAATATAATATGTTCTTTGTCTAATGCAAAACATCGTGAGCTCGTTCAAAGCATAACATTGTTTTTTTCTTAAACCCTTTATGGAATCGTTTTTATGAGAAAATAAAAAAATACGCAAATCTTTTTGAAGTCGCTAGTAAGCATTACAATCGCATTAAATAAACTGTAAATATTGCAATTACTAAAAAAAAATTGTAGTGGATAATAAAATTGTAGTTCAAATGTTTTATACCTATAACAGATGTTCAAACATTTATAATACTAGTTAGTATCACAAAACTGCAGTACAGCGTGGACAACAATCTAGCCCATCTTAAGAATTATCAGCGTCGGTAACGCTAGCTCTATTCTCGTACATACTGAATCATCTGCACATAATGTTTATGTAACGGCTAATCATTTCTATGTCCCGAGTCATTAACTGCACTGCGTTTGGCAGTTGGCAACGATGGAAAGCCGCAGACGGCGCTGCGTATCACTGTCTATATAGCGGACACCTGTTTTTTTATACCGCCATACAATTATATATTCATTTTTGATTTTTTTTATTGCTTAGATGGGTGGACGAGCTCACAGCCCACCTGATATTAAGTGGTTACTGGAGCCCATAGACATCTACAACGTAAATGCGCTACCCACCTTGAGATATAAGTTCTAAGGTCTCAAGTTTTATTTATTTATTTTTTATTGCTTAGATGGGTGGACGAGCTCATAGCCCACCTGGTATTAAATGGTTACTGGAGCCCGTAGACATCTACAACGTAAATGCGCTACCCACCTTGAGATATAAGTTCTAAGGTCTCAAGTTTAGTTAGAACGGCTGCCCCACCCTTCAAACCGAAACGCATTACTGCTTCACGGCAGAAATAGGCAAAATGGTGGCACCTATCCGTGCGGACTCACAAGAGGTCCTACCACTAGTAGCATAGATACAGAAGATGTTGATATAAATGATAACTAATGAACAATAAATAAGCTTAAGCGAACGGATGATAAATAATGTCAAACCTTATGTATTTACAAATAGGCAAATATCAGAAAGTTATGTAACATTTCTCGAATCTGTCTATCAACCGTTTTCTTCTTTTATTGTTTTCTGGGTATTGACGAACTTTAGTGTTACCAATAAAAAATATTTGTAAATAATAAGTTTTTATTTTATTGAAACAAGACAAAACGCTTTGGTACAATATCTCCTTGTTTGAAAAATTTTACCTCCTTTTTAGTAGCTATGACGATTTTTTATAAAAAGATGTGTGGTGTCGTGGGTCACCGGATAGGAACGAAGTTCCTTATTATAAAAATATTTATTTTAAGTTCTATTCGATGTATAAATAATATAATTATTCGGGTATACATTTTTTATTATGATTTTTTTATTGATAAAAATAAAAAAAAAAAAGTACTTTACAAAGTAATCAACTTTATTTTATCCACAATGATTTATAAAAAATATATATAATAAAAATATGTTATTTTTTGTACGCTATTACAAAGTTAAGTCGTACACTGTGTGCATTACTAATAAAAATCTTACGTTACGGACGTTTTTTCCCGGTTAAGGTACCATTCCGCATCGTCCCATAAGGAACTTCGTTTCAATAATAAATCCTTTTTTCAGAATGCTAATAATAACACCAAAAAGAAATTGCTATCCATAAAAAGACCACTGGACGAACACGAGGAACATAAAATTTGGTCTAATATAAAGAGAAATAAGATATAAAAATACTTTTGAATGGTTAAAATATATTATATTATTTTTCATTAAAAACATTTTTATGGTTTAATCTTTCGTTTTTTATTGTAATCTCTGACTAGCAAAAGTGTAAAGTATTCGAAATGTCGAAAATAATATAATAACAATAAAAACCGTGATATTAAACCGTAAAATGGCTTCAACAATATACATCTACGATTTGCGAAAATCGAACAAGAAACTATATATAGTGCGAAAGAGAAGGCTGACCTTCTCTTCATCAGTGAGCGACAGTACGGTTTCCGTCACGGTCGCTCAGCTGGCGATCTTCTTGTATACCTTACTCACAGGTGGGCTGAAGCCTTGGAGAGCAAGGGCGAGGCTCTTGCTGTGAGCCTTGATATCGCGAAGGCCTTCGACAGGGTCTGGCATAGGGCACTTCTGTTGAAGCTACCATCTTACGGAATCCCCGAGGGTCTCTGCAAGTGGATCGCTAGCTTTTTGGATGGGCGAAGCATCACGGTCGTTGTAGACGGTGACTGTTCTGATACCATGACCATTAACGCTGGCGTTCCACAAGGTTCGGTGCTCTCCCCCACGATTTTCACCCTGTATATCAATGACATGCTGTCTATTGATGGCATGCATTGCTATGCGGATGACAGCACGGGGGATGCGCGATATATCGGCCATCAGAGTCTCTCTCGTAGCGTGGTGCAAGAGAGATGATCAAGACTTGTGTCTGAAGTGGAGAACTCTCTGGGGCGAGTCTCCAAATGGGGTGAATTGAACTTGGTTCAATTCAACCCGTTAAAGACACAAGTTTGCGCGTTCACTGCGAAGAAGGACCCCTTTATCATGGCGCCGCAATTCCAAGGAGTATCCCTGCAACCTTCCGAGAGTATTGGGATACTTGGGGTCGACATTTCGAGCGATGTCCAGTTTCGGAGTCATTTGGAAGGCAAAGCCAAGTTGGCGTCCAAAATGCTGGGAGTCCTCAACAGAGCGAAGCGGTACTTCACGCCTGGACAAAGGCTTTTGCTTTATAAAGCACAAGTCCGGCCTCGCGTGGAGTACTGCTCCCATCTCTGGGCCGGGGCTCCCAAATACCAGCTTCTTCCATTTGACTCCATACAGAGGAGGGCCGTTCGGATTGTCGATAATCCCATTCTCACGGATCGTTTGGAGCCTCTGGGTCTGCGGAGGGACTTCGGTTCCCTCTGTATTTTGTACCGTATGTTCCATGGGGAGTGCTCTGAGGAATTGTTCGAGATGATACCGGCATCTCGTTTTTACCATCGCACCGCCCGCCACCGGAGTAGAGTTCATCCATACTACCTGGAGCCACTGTGGTCATCCACAGTGCGTTTCCAGAGGTCTTTTTTGCCACGTA